TTTGAAATTTAAAACAGGGGATCATGTGTTCTTGAAAGTGTCACCAATGAAGGGTCTTATGAGATTTAGGAAAAAAGGCAAATGGAGCCTTCACTTTATTGGACCATTCGAAATGCTGGAGAGAATTGGATCTACTGCTTACCGACTGGCATTGCCACTAGAGTTGGCTAACATTCATGATGTATTTTATGTGTCAATGTTACGTAAATACCATCTTGATCCATCACATATAATTTAGTATAAGGAGATTCCTATTGAAGGAGATATGTCCTATCAAGAAATGCCCATAGAAATATTGGACAAACAAGAATGAGTATTGAGGAATAAGACTATTTTGATGGTCAAGATACTTTGGCGACATCATTCACCAGTGGTATCTACTTAGGAGACTAAAGATTCAATACGAACTCGATTTCCTCGACTGCTTTAGAGACATATCAAATTTGGAGGATCAAATTTTTATAAGGATGAGAGAATTGTAATATCCATCTAAAATTGAAGTTAAGATGTAAATGAAAGATTTTTTTAAAATTAGGGGGCTTTTGGTTAATTTCAGGGACTTAAATAAAATAAATGAGAAAAAAAGAGGGGTAAAAATATAAATAAAGGAAAGTAAAAGGGGCAAAGAAAATTAGAAAATGGATGGTCCTGATCAAACCGTCTGAGAAGATCAAATGACTGAGATTTAAAAAGAGAACGGATGGCCCAAATCGAGTTAAAGAGATCCGATGGTTGGGACGAATGGGTATAAAAATGAAAAATTTAGGGTTTTTCTTCATTGTAAGGGCAGCCGAAAAAGAGAGAAGAGCGATCGGGGAGAAGGAAGAAGAGGGGGTCGCATAGGGAAGCCGAGAGAGAAGAAAGAAAGAGAGGGAAGGAAGGGGGAAGCAGGAAAGAGGAAGGGAAAGGAGAGGAAAAGGGGAAGGAGAATAAAAGAGATGAGTGGTCGAGCGGGAAAGAGAAAAGGGAACCGAGAACAGCTGTCACAAGGGAAGAAAAGGGAAGAAGAGAGAGGCGGAGGTGGGAGAATGGTGTAAGCAGAGCTGAAAGGAAGAAAGAGGAAGAGGAAATGACTGAGGCATCGTGCGACGGCATAGACCGAGGCTGTTCGAGTTTTCGAGCACCGCGCCCGAGCTTGGTGCGTTCCTTTTCTTTTTTTGGTTTATGTTTTTAGCCAAACGGGTGCTCATGTGTGTGTGTATGCAGGTTTGGGAGCTAGGGAAACGTGAGGTGACCAAGAGCCAAGCTGAGGTCGAATCGCTCCATGCTGGAAAGGTAAAGGTTTTTCGTGTTTTTGGTGGTTGTTGAGCGACGGTGTCGAGTTGGCTGTGCGAGAACCGAGGAGATCTCCTCGAGAATGGGGAAAGTTGACCCATTCGGGAAGCTGAAGGGTCTTCCCTGAGCGTGGGAACCCGATATACTATTTTGGGTTTTGATTCACCGTTCAGAAAGCTGAAAAATCTTTCTCGGGAAACGGAAATCCGATTTGCCGTCCGAGAAGTCGAAAAGTTTTTTTTTTCGAAAAACGTGAATCTGATTTGCCTAACGAGGAGCCAAAGGATTTTTCAGGTACAGATCCCGATAGATTCAGGTATTCCGTTGGGTGGTTGTTGGAACTCGTGAATTGATTAAATTAATTTTTAGTATTTCGAAGTATTTTAATCAATTATATCGTGTGTACAGAAAAATTTAGACATTTAGACGTATCCAAAAAGACACGTATGAGAGTAAGTATTTCTAAACCTCAACCTAATTCGAATTTTAAAAAGTGTATTCATCTTATTAAATTATGAATTTTGAAATTTGAACGGACATTGACTCAATTTTCGATAAAAAACAGAATCCAATATGATAAGTAAACCTAAGCAATTGGAACCCCTTGAGGAGACGAAATTAGAAAACTGACCAAATGGATTAAGAATTATTTAGACTGATGAAATTTGAAATTGAAAAGAAAATCCCCAATTAAGGAAAAATTGAAAAAGAAAAAGAAAAAGAATAAAATAAAAATATAAAAACAGAAAGGAAAAAAATTAATTGAGGTTAAGAAATGATCATTTAAACAAATTGAGAATTTTGGAATGAGAGGGTAGGAGTGAATAGGGTAGGGACCCTAAATACCTTCTCGTTTAGTCTGAATCGAGGAGGGGAGTGTGTGTGTGTGTGTGGCTGAAGTTCATGGGGTATGGTGAACTTGCACATGGATAGAGTCTGAAACCTAATTCAGATCGGGATAGACATTCGAGTGAGTGTAGACCACCTAGCAAATGTATTTGTTGTGGCCATTGTGTAATTTGTATGTGTGCTATCCATGCAATGGAGGGATCTATTTCGCTTTTTCTCGATGATGACATAAATGGCATCGCGCGATGAGACCTTAGAAATGACATTTCGATTGTATAAGTGATCTTTCGTGTGTATGTGATTATGTTTCAAGATTATGAACGAGATTCGAGTGTATTTGTGATCTTTTGTGTG